ACAATATTACTTCAGATTAAATAAAATATTTGCAGTATTACTATGATATTAAAATTAATTACTTTAGTAGCAATATAAAAGTATTAAAAAATATACTTATTATTAATTGGTTGACAGACCGATTTCGCTCAAAATCGTTTTATATATTATTCATTGATATTAATAATTGAATTTAAATTTGAAACAAACATTACAGTGACTTACATAATAAGGAAGTATCTACTTTGACACCTATTTTATAATAGAACAATTATCTACTTCTAGGTGAATAATTTATCGTTATTTTTAACTTTTAATTAAGGTAAGATCAAAAACCAGAGTTTCAAATATGCCAAATCTTTCAATTATTAACTCAACGTACTTCATTCAAATCTAAAATGAAAAATAATGTATTGTTCAAAAAACTAAGCATAATTTAATGATTAATCTTTCATTATTATAATATTATAGAACGATATACTTTTTTTACCAAAGTATAGAGCAAAAAAATTATTTATTTTTTTTTTTAATTGAACTTAAGCTCGGCTACTAGGGCCATTAGCTGTTGTAAGGGTTATGAACTGTGATAGAAGTAAGGTTGGTACGGTAGGTTATTTGTTTTTTTTTTTTACGATTGTTACAGTTGATAGCAAACACGTGTTTGTAAGGTTTTTAACCACTACGAGCCCGAGTAGTCATCCATCCGGGAACTAGTAGCTGTGGCCGTTACTTACTCCCAGCCGCATTCCACGACTGGCAATAGTCAACACACCACACCAAGTTACAAAAAAAATATTATTATTTTTCATAAATATTCGTAACAAAATTTCCCACAATGACTATTTTAACTTTCAACTTTGTATTCAAACAAGTGAGTATTATTTAAAATCATTATAAATATATAATAATAAAATTTATTTGATAAAAAAATAAATTAACAAAGTATTTATCAAATACAGATTACTCGATAAAATCTGTGCTAAAAGGAAAATGCAATAACTTTACAATTATTATAACCGTAACATCAGTAAAAATAAAATTTTCAAACTATTTTATTATACAGAGAACATTATTATTATTAATATACTTAAACTTAACTCAAATTTGATTTATTTTGAATGCATTTACTCATATAATAATAATAATAATTATTATTATTATTATTATTATTGAGATATCATTTTTAATTTAGAAAAATCTAATTATAAAATATAAGTTTAACCATTGGACAACATAAAATAAAAGATCATTCGGATGCGATAACAACATACATTATTTTATTGGTGATGAAACTTTATTTATTCCATTACTTTTAATTAAAGTTAAAAATATAGTGCCTATAGTAACAAGTACAAAATATGTTATGAGTTGTTCCGAAAATTAGATTATAATTTAAATTTTAATTAATAACAATGTACACAAAACAAAAATATAAGATTCTGCACTTATAATTACTGTCCTTATGCACAAGGCTTATTTTAAGGATTTTATCAACTATGCATTTTGTTTAAAAAGCCTATAAAAATAGAACTAAAATAATCTAAAAATATAACATCAAATTATAGTTAAAAATTATAACATCTTTAAGGTGGAATAATTTAAAATTTAACCTATTAAGAAGAAATAAAATAAACATTCATGTTTAAAATATTTTGCTTTGATTAATGTCCTTTTTACTTTTTTCTTAGTATTTACAATATACATAACAAATAACACAATATTAGAATATTTTCTTATTTTTCTATTTTTTGTTCAATTTTCTCTTTAGATTTGCTTTTTGTTGCTTCCATAAATATCCCAATAAACCATTCTTATCTAGCTTTAGCCTTTAGGTTAGTCTTTAATGCGGCGCTCATTTTTATTTAACCATATTTGCATTGCTGGTCTTGGGCTCCAATTTTAAAAAGCAGGCATATTAGAATTAATAAAAAGATATTAATTTTCCGTATCAACATGCAAACTTTAACGATTTGTTTATTTGAGAATATTGCTTTTACTTATTAATTGTTCAACGTCAAGGATGTCAGGTTTTGCAGCTATAACACAAGCAAGTATAATAGTAATATTTTTAAACTCATTGAACCCAGATAAATATTGCACTAATTTAGGCAATGGTATTTGTCGTATCTCTTTTAATCAATTATTTTCCATTAAATCTATATTATCCATATTTAGGTCGGCTAAATCCTTACCCAAAACGTCAAATTCAAATACATTTCTAATATTAGAATTACAATGAAGGTTAGCAACAGCTGGCTTAACAGCACTAACAAAATATTCATCAATAACTATGCGATCTAGCAGAAAATTAGACAAAATGTCTATTTTTTATGTCATATAGCAGTTAGAAATCTATTTTCAGTAACATAAAAACTATTCCTATTTTCATTTTTCTTAAAAATCAATTGATTTTATATATTTTTGAGATTTTCTATAAATACTTTTAAGTTCATCTTTAGATACAACTACCCAAACACCAACTAAATTAATTAAACTTAATGATTAATTTTTTTCATAACTTACTCAATATATTCAATAATATTCATTAATAACCGTTATTTTATTACTTTGAATAGTTTGTTGGTAACAAATAAATACAGCCAATACATCTGTAACAAATTCTAATAAATAAATAGGTATAGTGTTTTTATTAGCTAATAATAATAAAAATCCGTTAGACTTCTTTCTTTTTAGAATTTTGCATATATATATATAATGTATATAACCAAATTTTTCTATGAAATTAATATTGCTTTAATTAGACTAAAAGAAAATTCTGTCCATGGCAGTTGAAAAATGTTGGTATGCTTATTAGTTGTCAATTATTTTCCTTAAAAAATTGTTGAAGTTCTCTAGTTCGAAGTTTTCACTTGACACCCAAATGGAAAAATAAGTAACAATAGCTAACAACTTTATAAACGATAACGAGTATGATAAGACGCGAATACTTGAATAAAAATGTATAATTATTATAAAATATATAAACGGACATAAAGCGCTAACCGGTTTATTGATGATTTTTTTTATTGGTATTCGGTATTACTTATTCTTAAAAAAGCTCCAAAGATTTGGTTCTTGCCTACGATTTCTAATAATAAACATCGCTTAATAATTTACATTTTTAAATTATAATTATTAATGTACAAAGTAGATAATAAGGATAAAAAATGATTTTCTCATTGCAAATAAATTCTTATACTTAAAAGAACTACTATTTTCTGTCTTATTTTACTAATATAACAATAAAATATTAAAAATCAAATACGCAAAAATGTATTATCAAATGCGCATCTAGCTTTTTGTAAACACACAAAATAAGTCCAACTGCGTTTTAAAATAAGCCATGCTTATGTGTATATGCAAACTGTAAAGTAACGATAAACTATTATAATTTTGAAACGCAATAATAATTATGAAACACTGTAGGTAGGAGAATTTTTTTTTTTTTTTTATTGATCTTTAAATACAAAACTCGGCAGCAAAGGCCATTAGTTAAACTCTTAAATACTAATTACAGTTTTTATAACTTTTTTTGTGAAGTTTACATTATGTTATATTATATTAGCAGTTACAATTACAATTACAATTATATTTTGCCTATAAGGTTGGTTAGTTTTAGGAAGGTTATAATTTTAATATTTTGATCAGGGATTGGTCCGAAGATTTCATCGAGTGTTTCCGTCAAATTAAGATTTGTACGCTGCTGTTAATAAATATGACTTTCTGTTATGATATGTTTGACTGTGATCTGTTTATTGCAAGTTTCGCAGAGGAGAGGGGTTCTTCGTTTAACATAAAAAGCCCGTAAGTTATCCTCGAGGAGAATTTTTAAACTTATATTTATTATACACATATTTAAAAGGAAATTGCGTAAAATAAAAATATTTTTTTTTTATAACAATTTAATCAGATTATCATTTTTAATCCAAAATTTATTTCTATAACAGACACATATTTTGGTGAAATTCCATGCTTAAATAAACATGGTGATAACTTTAAAATGTATTACTTAGTTAATAAATTTTGAAATATTTACAACATGATGTTATTTCAATGTAACCTACATCATTTTTTACAATTTTTTTTTTTTTATTTCGAATAAATATATATTCTGTCTAAATTTTTTATTAAATTTAAACGATATTGTTTCATTACCAAATCTCATGTAGCCCAATGTAGGAGTATGGTTTATCCGAATATTATTACAATATTGAAATACTTTAATTATTACGTCGTTTAAAATAATATGGAGGAAGTAAAAATTCCGCTTATTTAAGGATTTGAGAGTTGAGATGAACTTCTCTCGTCGTCTTTAAACTTAAGACTTAAAAATAGAAAAATATATAAGAATTCGTTTTTATATATTTTTTTACGTAATTATTGTAAATAAACGATTTAAAAAATATCACCGTTTGAAAACTTAAAACACATACGTAAATATGTAAACTAATCATTTCGCCTAAACATGTCGTGTAAAAACACAATATTACGTTACTATTACATGTTTCATTTTAAAATTTAATTATGAATGACATTTTTTTCGGCTAAAAATAAAATTAAAAATGAATAACAGCAAATAAAATAATAAACAAAAAACAACAACGTAGGATTGCCATACAATAATCGTAATAATAATAATGGCAGCTACATAAAAGGTAAAAATAATAAAGAAAAATATCACAATCGTACTAAGAGATCATTTAAGTTATTTATCTAATACCTTTCAAAATTACCATCCTGCACATAATAAACTGATGGTGCAACTAGCTATTTGTATGATAATGTAATGTAATTTTATTATTCTCATTCTATTAATGTTTATAGGTATAAAGATATTATAGTAAATGACCTTGAAATCAATTGGATCGGTTGAATCGAGAGTAAAACCATTACATTTGCGATGGTAAATCTATCTCTGTTTCTCTTTAGTGCACTTCACAGTTGGCAAAAAGGGTGGGAGAAACGCCATCCGCTTAACTATTACAACATTAATTGTAAACGAGTTTCGCGAACGGATTTTTGAGTTACTTTGCACTCGCGAGCTGTGAACATATTTATTTACGCGCGCTTAAGTCGTCAGGGTTGTCGTCGTCGTCTTCTCCGATTTTCGCAAAAACCGTGGATTGTAAAGCCCGCGAACGTAACACGATTTAAAGTCAGGCCGGAGACAAAAATACGATGTACATCATGTTGGAACCCAATTTTTTTAACGCCGTGTTAATACTTTTTGTGATTTTGATATCGTACGTGACATGGTTGCGACTTCGGAAGCCGCTGGAATATCGGCGGATCTCGTCACATGTGCCGTCCATTACGAAAAATCTTTGGAGCGAGATACTGTTTTCGTGCACCATGGCGATGAAACATCCTAAAGGTATATACCAAAAAATCTCAAAAACGATTCTGTAATATAGACACACAATCATAATAATTATACTATAATGTTGTAATCTGAGACAATCCTTATAATTTTATACGACAAAAGTGCCTGACTGGCATGCATACTCGTACCACATTTGTTTATTGAATTTTGATTTTTAGAAATACATTAACACCTACAAATTGCATACTGAGATAGATTAATTATTTAAATAATGTTTTCTGTTTACATTAAATTAGTTAGGATGGTTATTATTAAAAATGTTGATATAATTATGATTTATTAAGTTAAAAATTCGAACGAATACTTGTTAAAATATTAAACTTTGTATACTTCAACAATATTAATCCTTATCAATTATTTTACATAAAATGGAAAATATTTAGTTTAGTACTTATACTATTTTCATAGATTATAAAATTTAACAAATTTTTCAAATCATCATCAAAACCCAATATCTTTTATAATTATTACCAAGGTCTATTATCTTTAGTACACAAATCAATTTTCATAATATATTTAGTGAGATACTCAGTTACTCAAAAAATACCTGTTATATTCTTGATTTAAATAAAGCAAAATTTAAAAAATTAATAATAATCTACCAATTGTACAGTAAAAATAAAATTTTCTATCGTAAAATCTATGTACAAGGCCAAAAACAACTTCAAGAACATACAACTCTAAATAATTCAAAATATTATATTACAAACTAATAATTTCCAATAATGATGATATTCATGAGTATATAATTAAAAATGAATGCTTGATGAATTACATCATTTAAATAACGATTTATTTAAATACGTGTATCAATAGTTTTAACAATTTATTTTTATGCATTGATTTGAAGTAATTTAACAAATAATTTAATCATAAAATTATATTTTTCAAAAAAACTTTTTATTTTTACTCTTGGAGTGTTTTTTCTAAATGTATTTCTTTTGTTAATCGGCCATATTTTTATAATGAAATTTCTATGTATCTTTATGAATATTAAAAATTATACCCATCGTTAAATTTTACAGGATAAGATGTGTTTCTATTACAGTAAGTCTTCGTTTAACGTCGCCTCATTTAGCATTGTTTCGCTATTGCGTTGTAGAAGTTTAAGTCCTTATGTTTTGTTTAACACTGAAACGGTTTCAGTATAACGTGTTTGTAATACATGTATTCCACAAATTATTGTTATATTTATATAAATTTCATATAAAAATATGTAATTTAAAAAGTGTTTCACTTAACGTTTTTTTCGGTTAACGTTGTGTTTTCCAGGAACCTAACCTCGACGTTAAACGAGGACTTACAGTATTTAAATTTTAAACTTGTTTAAATAATCATCTACAAATTTAAAAAGATTTTCTTTCATTTCATTAAAATTTTAATTTTTTTTAAAATAATGAACGTTTGGTTAACTCTTTAGTTATATTTATATTCATTTTTTCCAATTATTATTTTTATTTTTTTTTTACGTAATATTTATCACGAAACTGTTGATAAAAACGAGTCTATATAATTAATTATGTATATTAATAGGTAGATACAATCTGGGAATAATGACTTATGCATACAGTACTTCCGGTAAATTACGTATATAATTGCTATAGAGTTTACATTATTTAATATACTATTAAGATTAAGTATAATATCTATATTCATATGAGTTTAAGATTTAAATTAAGCAATATAACATATTTTTGGAAAAATAAGAAAATATTACAATGTTCATAAATTGATATTAATTTAGAATAAATTTAACAAATAAAAATTAGTTTTTATTTCAATGTTTTAAACACTTGAGAATTGAGGATAGTTATAACTAAAGCGCGGATTTCTATGCAATTACATATTTTTTTTCCTTTTAATATTTTTGGATTTTTGTCAATTATCTCCACAAATCATCATAATTTGAAGCTAATGGTGAAATTTTTTTTTGCGTATTTCTGTATATTTAAAAGTTATTGCATATTTTTGCATATTTTGGCAAAATTCAAAATGTATTGCATAGGTTATAACTTATAGGGAGTTTGTAATTTGCACCAAATTAAAGATATGTAATTTTCACCTTTACAGGTAGTCGAAAGTAGTGTTTGTAATTTGCACCAAAATAAGGGTATATAATTTGGATCACCCTCAGGTAGTCGAAAATAGAATTTGTAATTTGCACCAAAATGATTATTTATTTGATTGATTATCGAATATTCGATTTTGAAATATTCGATTATTCCTCGGTAGTTCGTTGACATTGAGACAATAGTTGGACACAAATGACAATAATAATTTTTCGGGATTTTTTCGCTTTATCTGGTAGTATTTTGACTTTTACGTCCAATTATCGGTCGTAATCGCGTTATATGTTTATATATTATATATATACAGTGTGATCACGATAAGTGGAAACACTCAATAACTATGAGCAGGCTTCATATATTTCAATTCTGCTTTTTCGGCTAACTAATAAACATTATTATACACATTTTCAAATAATTAGACTATTTTTTTGATAACTAATTTTGCGCATGCGCACAATAACTTTTTTTTTTTAAATGGCATGATCCATTTTTGACCACAAATTATTTTTTTTGGTATTTTTTAATGAATTTTAGTGGTTGAATTTCTTTTCTAAGTCAAAAATTGACCGAGTTATAGCAATTTGCTTTTATGTTATTTGCACGGGTATTAAATACGTAGTTGACAATAATAAATACGTAAATAATAAAAATAAAATTACAAATATTGATTTTTTTATTCATAAAAGTTTTATTTATCTAACAAATTGTTCAAACTGTGCACCATGGTGCTGTAAACAACATTCAACACGAATTAAAAATTCTCTGTTAATAGCAGAAATAATTTGTTCCTTTGTAATTTGATTACATGCAGCAAGTATTTTATTTTTCAACTCAAGAAGACACGTAGGTGGATTGGCATACACTACCGTTTTCAAGTGACCCCATAGGAAGTAATCTAGTGGTGTAAGATCTGGTGACCTTGGTGGCCACTGAACTGCTCCATAAGTCCCTATCCACCGATTTGGAAAATATTCATTGAGCTGATTGCGAACAATATTTGCATTATGAGCTGGAGCTCCGTCTTGTTGGAATATTAAATTTGCTCTTATGTCTAGTGGAAGGTCATCTAACATATTAGGGAGCTCATCTAGTAAGAAATCATGATATCGTCTTCCATTAAGAGTGCCATCGTAGAAGTATGGCCCTAATAGTTTACCATTTATTAAACCACACCATACATTCGTTCCCCACACACTTTGATTGTTGGTCTCAAATGTCCAATGAGGATTTTGGTCATCCCAATAGCGATGATTCTGTTTATTTAAAACTCTATTATTTGTAAACTTTGATTCGTCTGTCCAAAGAATGTAATTTAATATATAAGGATTTTCGTTTAACTGTGTTTCCAACCAAGCAATGAACGTAATTCTACGTTCGGCGTCACCTTCGTGTAAATGTTGAACTAAATTGGCACTATAAGCGTGCATTTTATGTTTTTTCAAAATTTTTTGAACAACTCCAAATGAAATATTTATTTCTCTACTAACATGGCGAATAGAAGTCCTAGGATTTGCTCTCACGTAAGCTAGTATTTGCACCTCAATATCTTCTCCAATAGCATTTCCTCGTCTTGGTTGTTGGTTAATAACTCGTTTGGAAAAAGAACCGGTGTCTCTCAAATTTTTTTCCAGTTTATAAAAAAAAGTATGTGATGGATGCTGCCTATCTGAATTTATAAATAAGAAAGAGCATTTATTTTATGAGAAATTAAGCAGAGAAAATTAAATTTATTGTTAAATCATACGAGTAGTTACTTGGATAACGAAGAGCATAGGTTTCTTTGGCAAGACGTGTATTTTTTTGGCATTCCCAATATGTAAAAAGCATGTCAACTTTTTCTGAATTATTATTCATAATAACTAATAGATAAGTATTAAATTTGGTTTAAAACTACAAAATATCGATTTTTATTTCTTATTAGTTACTGGCACTTACTGCAGAATAATATCGACTGTGAAAAATGTCTTAATTTTACTATGTACCTATGCCCGTGTGACATTATTTATACATTATAATTATAATGCAATTACTGAGATAAAATTAATAAAGATAAACACAATAGGTAGACAGGTATTTCATAAATTAGATAAGTTATTTTTATTTTTATTATTTACGTATTTATTATTATCAACTACGTATTTCATACCCGTGCAAATAACATAAAAGCAAATTGCTATAACTCGGTCAATTTTTGACTTAGAAAAGAAATTCAACCACTAAAATTCATTAAAAAATACCAAAAAAAATAATTTGTGGTCAAAAATGGATCATGCCATTTAAAAAAAAAAAGTTATTGCGCGCATGCGCAAAATTAGTTATCAAAAAAATAGTCTAATTATTTGAAAATGTGTATAATAATGTTTATTAGTTAGCCGAAAAAGCAGAATTGAAATACTCGTATATGAAGCCTGCACATAGTTATTGAGTGTTTCCACTTATTGTGATCACACTGTATATTTCTATAATGTATATCAGTTTATTATTTTGATCAAATACTAAGCTATACGTTTAGTCTTGCCGTTTCGTCGTAATAGTGTAGTTTTTAATTTTTTTCTTAAAATAACTTTTTTTATATTCATAATAATACGATTTAAATTTTATATATATATTTTTTTAATTGACCAACTTTTTTTATATTTTTAATTATACGATTTTATATAAACTTACAACAATATATGTATAAGCTCAGCTATTTTATAAATAAAAACTAAGCTAAATTTTTATTTGGATATAGAAACTTGTAAGTTGCTACTATAGATGGTACTATCGAGATACTATCGGAAAAAATCGGTGCAAATTACAATTCCTATTTTTGACTACCTAAGAATGGTGCAAATTACATATCCTTATTTTGGTGCAAATTACAAACGTATTTTTAAAAAAATGGTGCAAATTACACATGTTATATATATTTTGGGTCAATTTTGGTGCAAATTGACTACAGCCAACTTATAACCTACTAATTATAAAGCTTATAGAAATTTAAATAAAATACAATACAAATAGAATAAATGATTTATTTTATATGATTGACATATTTTTATTTATAGCTCCAAAGATCATACATTTCTTTGCTAAATAATTGACTATATATTTTTAAATGTTTAGTTTATTTTTTTATTTTTTTTTATAAAAATTACTGTAAAGATGAGTTAATTAGTCGAAATCATAATTCATAAATTAAATTAATTGTATACCCACACAGTTGTATATTATATTTCTTGATTATATTTCCAACACAATGATGATTGCAATACAATTAGATACTGTTTTGTTAACTCTTCAATTACAATATTACAACTTTTATAAGAACAGTTGAGGAATTCTGCCGACTCGTGTACTTAATTTTAACTTGTACAATTATACATCTTTTACAGATAAAAAAACCGAGGCATCAATTCCATGAGAAAATAAAATAAAATAATGGTAATTAAACATTTTTGTCTCACATTTTTTTATACATACTCTATAAATATATATTATTCTATATATTTGAACTTTTCTTGTTTCCTCAAATGTTTTGGTTTTTGGTTTATTTTTAATAGATTTTTAAATTATTAATCGTTTCTGTGGCGGCGTCCAACGTCTAACTATTACAATATAAACTTCGAAGTTCGTCGTAATTCACTAAATTTGTCAATTTTGTTACTTTCCTCTTTCAAATTGCGAACAAATTATGAACGTACAATGTTTTTATTTTTATGGATACGCTTTTCTTTTTTTTTTTTGGTTAATATTAAGTCTAATCCATACTTAGGGAGGTAGTTTTTTGATTCTTTCAATAGCTACCTTAATCATAAACAAAACTATAAAAAAAAAAAAAAATGTTTATGAAATGAAAAAAGGTAAGATTATCACCAAATGTCGTTCAAAATGGCTTTTCAAATGTCTCGATTGCTCCTTGTTTTCTAATTCAATATTATAATATCAACGTTTTGTTGTAAATAATTGAATTTTTTATTCGTACAGTATAAACACTTATTTAAAATGAAAAAATTTTACTTTTATAGTATTAAAACAAATATTGGTATTATAAAATGAACTAATTTTTCTGTTACCATAATCGTTCTGATTGAACTTTGACGGAACTAATAAAATTCCACTTGAGTTCAATCATAACATTTTTATAACAATATTGTATACATATTATAGAAATATTGTATTGTAGTTATATCTATATTATAAGTAACCTACACAACATTTAAAATACTTTTCTATATAGTTTTTGGTATCAAATAGTTTTTTGTATTTTGTGATTAACTCATCTAAACTTAATTTAACAATTTTAGATTTATTGCCGTTTTTCAAGGAAATAATTCAAAACAACGGTCCAGTAGTTCATTTTAATATCAGTGGACGGTCATATGTAATAATAAATGACCCAGATGACATAAAGGCAAGTAAATTTGAAAAATTCCATGTGACCATATGTATTGTAAACTGTATTATGGTCGTTAAAAATCATTCAATTTTTATTATGTGTACTGACTCCTTCGCATCTATAATGTATTATTTTGACGTTAATTATTAAATTATTATATAATAAAAAAAAAAAATGGAAATACTATATAATTTTTTAAGTTAGAAAAAAAATTGCAATTTACTTTATTTTTTAACACCTATTAAACTTACTGCTAAAATGGTAACACTCCCTTCAATAATTCCACAATATTAGGTATATAATTATCCTTGGTAAATAATTTAATTATTTAGATGTTATTTCTTCAACTAATTAAATCAATTATATTAAACACACATTAAAAATTTTTTAATATAAATAATTAATGGTCCATTTAAGTATCAATTACAAAGTTTGAAAAAAGACAAATACGAAAATAATAAATAAAAAAAAAATGTTATATTTATAAAGTTGTAATTATAAAACCTAATCTAATCTACGTGTTAATATTTATTATTTATAATCAGATCGTTCATTAGTTAACTAATTATTTTTACTTAAGTAATATTTAAGTATAAATATAATTAACAATTAGAAAATCATGTATATAATAATAGTCGTACAAATAATATAAAAAATTATAATATTCTATTAAAATTTTTAAAATACAAGAAAATTTAATTATTAATACATTCCATTAAAACTTAGTAACCAGATTTTAAAAGATCATGCACGTATTTTTCTCTACAACATCACTATAACTGTTTCTGCAGTTTTTTTAAATGTGTGTTTTAATTTATCTGAAACGTATCCTAAGTAAAATATATAAATAACCGCGTATTGTTTTCAATAGGTTCTGTTATCCAGTACAGCATACATCAAAAAGGGTCCTGAATATGAAATGTTGAAACCATGGCTGAACGATGGACTTTTGTTAAGCTCAGGTATTATTAATTATTTAAATGAATAAGAAAGACAGATATAGCAAAAATCTAACATAATAATATCATGTTAAATATTGTTCTTTAGGTTTAAAATGGCAAAACCGTCGGAAGCTCCTAACCAATACTTTTCACTTTAAGACATTAGATATGTACAATCCTGCCGTCAATAAACATGCAAAAGTATTTGTAAAAAAGCTTTTGGATGCGTGTACGGACAATAAAGAAATTTTCATCACAGAATACGTGACGTTATGTTCTTTAGACATAATCTGTGGTAATTTGTAATTCAATTAAATTTAAATTATATGTACGACATTCCGAGACATCTTACGTTTAATAAGCCTAACAACCTAACCAATTATAAAAATTAAAATATGATGTGTTAGGTTACTTATTTAAAAGTCGTGTACTCATGAGTCTTACTATTCTCATTAAAAAATTCATATCATGTTCAAAAAAAAAATATTTTTTCTAATTATAAATATTTATTTAAAAAACTAAGTAATTAATCACATTTATCATTTTGGAGAACAAATAAAATAAACGTGTATGCAAATTAAAATTGCAAATAAAATATGTTGTAATAAATTGCTTATTACTAATTCAAATATTTACAATACTTTTGGCTATTATAAATTCTTTGTTAAATACATAATTTGGTATTTTTTTATTGCATGTTATTTATCTATCTACTTTTTTACACTTTTATTGATAAGGTCTACCCATCAATTATTTTTAATAGTGAAACTATCGATTATTATTCACACCTTTACAAATTTTTATTTTAGACATTAATTTCTACATATATATATTTATCGCAAATACTTTTCAAAATTACTAATTATTATAATACTATTATGTTCTTGATTATTTTTTTTTTATGTATGAAAAGATAACATTTATAAAAATCTAGATAAATATATTTTGAAACGACATTTATATTAATTAATTTATTAATTATCTATACACTAATATAACTATACTACAATTAATATTGTTAAGCACGTAACCAAACAGGTGATTGACATATATTTGAATACTAAAATGCTATTCATAGTTTATAATTGATAAAAATAATAAGTCTTAAGTTTAAACACAAATTTAAGAAGAAAGGCTCAAACTTTAACTGCCGAATAACATTAAATTACATCTCTCAATAAGACTAAAAATCAATATCTATGCCACACTATTTAATAAATATATTTAAAATCAAATTGTGTTATTATCAAATTTGATGACTTTAATATCTAATTACATCATCTTAATAAATTTATTTATTGTTTTAGAAACCATTATGGGTACTGAAATGAATGCTCAAAAAGGAAAATCGACTCAATACGTATATTCTATTAAAAGGTAAAAGCCGAAAAATATTTGAGTTTGTTGCAATGCTATAAAATATTAATTTATAATTATTTTTTTAAAGTGCTTGCAAATCAGTGATTGATCGAATTTTCAAATTTTGGCTATGGAATGATTTGGTGTATAGAATAAGCGAAAGTGGTCGATCGTTTTTTAAATCAATTAAAGTGCTACATGAATTTACGAATAATGTTTGTATACTAAAAAATCTATATTTTTATACTTAGTGACCTTTTACAATGACAAAAGAAGCCGCGGTTATTAATTAAAAAGTTGAAATTATCCTTTTCTAGATTTGATTTCGTCAAATTACAACCAATTTATCATAAAATGTATAAAACAATTTCCTTAACTCTTACTAAATAAATATTAAGTGTAAATATATATTCGTTTGAAAAGCATTAAGGAAATACTACCTTCTCTACATTGTAAATAACGCAAAATCTATATGGGGTGCTAATGTTTTTGTTAATGGAAATAACATAAAGTTGTGTGTTGTACTACGTTTTATGTTATCAATCGATTTACCAAATGTCATAATATTTTTGGACATACATAAACTGCACCCAAAATGTTATCTGTGTTAAAAAGGTATAATGTAAACTGTTCCCAAATTTTCATCTACATTAAAAAGATGTAATATAAACTGCGCCCGACAACTATAAAGCTGTGCTCCGTTTGTAAAATATACAAAACTTTTGACTTATTAAAGTCTCTATAATTGTGCACTTTTTCAATTATATCACAGACATTTTATTTTCTTCAAGAAATAACAACACGTTTTCAAATAACTATTGCATTCTAAAACAAAAAACAAAAAAACGCGAAAAGTTACAACATTTAATTAATAAATATAATAGTAGTCAAACTCCAATTGATGAATATGTAACAACAATATTATATGTATTATCATTTATAATATTTGTAATTATTTTACTTTTTAAAATCATACATTTTTTTTTAATTCTTAATTTAATTTTAATTTTAATTATTCATATTATATGGTTTTAATGAATTAAGCTGCATACGTTAAACATTTAACATTAAAGATAACTTTGCAAAAATATAGCTATTGATTTTAAAATTTTACCCGGGCGCAGTTTACATGTGTGATTTTGGGTTTATTTATATTTTGAGCGCAATTTACAATCACCAATATTTTTAATTGACTACTTATAGATCATCAAATATAAACAGTCAAAAAACTATGAAAATCAAAAAGTGCAGCCTAAAAGCAAACCTGGTACGTAATTACGAATTATAATAATTATCAATCATCTTATTCGATATTATTCCCAGTTTTATAACAGCGTATATATTATTTTTTTTTTTTTTGATTAATAACTGTTTAGAAAAAAATCAAGCAAAATCATTTTTAGATTTACTTCTTAACGTTTTAAACGAAAATCCCGATCAAATAACTATCAAAGATATACAAGAAGAAGTAGATACATTTCTTTTTGAGGGACACGACACATCTTCCATATCGATGATAATGACCATTTTATTGTTGGGTATGCACCAAGATATCCAAGTAAGACATGTGTTTTTTATTTTAAGCATTGTTCTTAAGTGTACATTACATTTGTAATATAAAAATATTAAATTTAAGGATAATGCTAGGGAAGAGCTATATAATATATTTGGCGACTCTGACAGAGACGCTACAATGGAAGACTTAAACGCCATGAGATATTTAGACGCAGTCATTAAAGAATCACTCCGATTATATCCAAGTGTACCGAGTTTTACCAGAGAATTGAATACAACTTTACAGCTCAGTAAGTATCTCACTTGAAATAAACGTGGTAAAAAAATATTATTTTAGGAACAATTTTGACCGTATGTCTTAAAAATAAATTTTAATGGAAAATAAGCATTTTTTTCAAAAACTAAATAAATTCACAATGATTTGTATTTTATATAATACACTATAAATGTATTTTGTTGATATTATTTTTATTTATAGAAAACTATAGCATCCCTCCAATGACAACAATGGTAATAGTTCCCTACATTTTACACCGAAATGAAGATATTTATCCAAAACCTGACGACTTCATTCCTGAAAGGTTTTTTGATGAAGAAAATAAATCAAAATTTATATTTGGATACATACCGTTTAGCGCAGGCGCAAGAAATTGTATTGGTAACTTAAATTTTCTTATTTTATACAATATTCAAGAAATAATATGATCAAATTTATTCGTATACGTGTACCTATGTGTATAACAGAAATTATTTTACTGAGCTAATCGTGTTTAAAATAATAAATCATGTTAATCAGTATAATTGGGTATTGTTTTAGGACAAAAGTATGCCATGAATCAAATGAAAACAGTAATATCAACAATATTAAGAAATGCGAAAATTGTATCTTCGGGATGCAAAGAAGACATTAAAATTAGTATGCAATTACTTATCAGAATAGAGTCGATCCCAAAAGTAACATTTCACAAACTATAGTTAATTGTAATTTATATAATATTATATAATTAGAAATAATTTGAAATTTTTTTTTTTTTGATAAATAAACAGTCATAGAAATTAATTATGAAATTAAATTATATTCCATAAAGATACATAATAATTATAATAAGACCTTTGTCCAAAGATTACTAAGATTTAAATTAATTGCTTAGTTTTTAAGTATTTGATGTTTAATTTTTTGGTGGTCATTCTAGTTAATGGATAAAATATATTTGTATTTTTGTATTACAACAGACATGTTATTTATTAAGTATTTCCATTTTTTTTAATTGTAAATTATTATTTACTTAGTATTTTGGTAGAATTTTTTTTCTTGTATAGGTTGAAAAACAAATAAAGAACCTTGTATTAAATTTTTAAATCTTAGGTATAAAAACATAAATTCTTAATAATTTTGTCAAAACTCTAACATTAAATTTTATAAAAAATATTGTGATCATAGATTTTCCAAATTTTTTTATAGAAAAATTAACAATTTATGAGAAACTTTGTATTAAATTTTCAACATTTCACCGAGCAAATAAATTTTAATCAACATTCATAAAATATATATAATATATAAAATGTTGAAAATTGTTTGTGTCAAAAAATAGCTCAAAAAATGAAATTTTTTATGTTATATTTTAAATAGAAAAAAAAATAAATATTTAGTTAAAATTTCAAGTTGTTAAGGTTATTCGTTGCCAAGTTACATAAAAAGATAAAATCGATTTTATCAAAAATTTCCGTTTTTCCTTAATTTTTTATCCAGACGATCATCGTTTAAATTAGTGTTGTATAAGTCAATACTAAAACAGTTTTCAACATTTTCTGGATTTAAAAATATCAATCCAAAATAATAATATAGCCATTTACTTATTTCTGATTCGTCGTAGCCATAATCCGTTGTAAGCCCAAGTCTTTGTATTGCGCACCATGCACCATGCCTGACACCTGCAATAAATAAAAACGACAACCATCTAATTTATTTCCGGGCCATTGTAACATGCAAGCATTTCTTAATCCTCTTTCAAAATCAATTACAATTTTATTTGGTTTTAATACACTACCAACTTCATTATATAATTAATTTATTGTTTGAAAACATTGTTAAAATGTTAATTCAACGACCATGTTCACTGATAATAAATTGCATTTCTGACATACCTAATAACTTTAACTCATCGAGTTAAATTTAAGATTTGTTAACTGTTAACTTCTAACTTATTAATACTTTCAATTAACTTGAGCTAATTATTTTTATGAACTTACCAATCTTTGGGAATCAACATAAGTGTAATACAATAGCAAAATGTTTTTAGGGCAACTCACTAATGTTAAGAAAGTTTACTTGTGCCTAAGAATTAGTAAAACATAATATTAATGCCGAGTTAATACCAACAAGTATAGTAAGTGACCAAAGTGCACAAACCCATCGAAAATTCGATTTACTTGGTAGTATAGAAGATAACTTAAACTACATTATGTGATTATAAAATATTTTTACTTTATGACATGCCACAACTTGTAAAAATATACGCAATAATTTACTGAATAGTAATTTTAAAATTAGAGATAAAATTATATATCTTAAAGATATATATAAGGCTTACGAAATTGATAAAAAAAAATGCGCAAAATTACACCACCATACCTAAATCCGAATTCTTTTCAAAAATGTGTTGCAAATTGATTATTTAACTTCTAAAAAAATCAGTATCAGTAGCAATAAAAAAGTGTGTTACTTTAAAAAAATTAAAATCCAATATTGCAATTGATAAAGTCAAATCAATTGAAATGTTAAATATATGTTTGGTTCATATCAATAGTAAGAACCTTTATAATCCTAATTTTAACAGACGGCCAATAGGAAAACAAAATCCTAATATTTTCAAACATTTAACCAAAACCCGTTTGAAATTTAAAAACCCCTTAAAATATGAAAAAAAATCAAGTATTTCAACATACTTTTCTGGAGTAGTCTGAACTATTACAGAGATGATTAAACTTTTTAAGTATGCTCAATTTACGATAAAATAAGGAATTTTTTATATTAACAAAATATAGATTGACACAAAACGCATTGGAGAACTTATTTTCAATTTTATTATTCGCAAGAAAAATGAGTATATTTATTGTTTCTTAAATTTTAAGTGTTAATATAATATCGTTAGTTATTTATTTCTTATTAAATCAACGGGTATAATAGAAACCCAATAGCTCGTACGTTCCGTTTTTGTTTTGGTCATATTTACTCATATAGCCTTAGGAAATTTGCTACTTCGTATAATAATTCTGAACCTGATAATGCAGAACTTATGATAATAAATGTCATTAACGATATTCAAACAGTAAAAGAAATTGAACCTAATACGAGTGAAGAGCAATTTGATAAATTACTTGACATTACAGACTTCGAAGATTCTAAAATAAGTAAATGTAGTTCTTTATCACCAACCCTAGAGACGTGTACTACTACATTCTTTGCTAGGTATTTAGCGAAAAAATTTCTAGATGAATTTAAAATAAATGTGAAAACTGTAGTTAAAAATTAATTTAAAACGTTAGGTTAAAATGTATTTTTCTGAATGAAAGCTAACAGTAATAGGCGCAATTTACAAAATGCTAATAAATTAAGAATTTTTCAAAATAAGTAGGTACTATATTACTATTTTCGTACATTATATTTATATACCAACAATACGTATGTTTATATTTATTTTTAATTGAATAAATTGTTCAGTGCGTAGGTAAATAACTATAAAATATTTATTTTTTTTAAATATTTTAATGTTACTAATTTTTTTTTTTTTTTTGAACCTAAATATGTTAATATTATTGTTATATGTATAAAGTCAAAATATATTATGGAAATATCTGCAAATTTATCATTTAAGGACCATAAATATTTTACTCGCAAATCGCGAGTATATTAGGTACATAATATTATCTTGGAATACTTACATGTTCTCAACATTTCACAATGTCTGTTAAAAAAAATGTATAAAATATTAATCGGTTAAAATTATAGAACAAATAATAAAATATATTAGCTAATATAGATCATCGTCGCTTTTTTAATCAACACTAAATCGACTAAATGGAAAATCATTCCGAAACATTCCGTAGATAACAGACAGACGGATAAACATAGTGACGATAAAAACCAGATATCCTTGCACCGCGCTCGATCATAATTATGATGGTTAGGTCACTATTTTCACGAAGAAGTTTGAATTTACTTTTCTCTAATTATTTTACAATCAAAATCAAATCATTGCTTTTTATGCTATAACCGGTAAAAAAAAACTTATAGAAAATTTCCCGTTTTTAAATAAATTTTTAACTATAATTACGAAGGCGTGTGTTCCAACTATATCAGTACGTTATAATGGTCTCCAATCCTCAATACTTTAACACAATCTAACAATGTATTATAATCAGCAGTCTTCGTTGTAGAAACTTCGTTTAACAAAATAACACATTGTTTCTGTAAATAAACATATCAAATACTTTTAATTGTATATGTTCTAAGTACGCGACAGGAAATTCAGGTTGAAAATGAATTGCGTTTCACCATTGGCGCACAATACTCTCTTCGGGTAAGTTATTTCCATTAATTCTCATACATTTATACGTGGATGATGATTAATAATATAAAAATATAAAATTACCAATATTTTTTTCCTACTTTGTCCATTATAACTTTGTAGCAGATGTATTCAAAATACTTCTAAAATGTGCAAAGAAAATATTAAAATAATAAACAAATATATTTGAAAAATTCTAAATTACATATGATTTGATAACTTTATTATAAAAAATATTTGAGGATTACTTAAATACATAGGCCAAAATAGAAGTCGATAAATATTATACATTTTAATTTCGTCAAAAAAATTGTTATTGAGTAGTTTTTTTAAATAAGCGTTTAAAATTTTAATATAATAAAATAAAATTCTATTAAAATATTAACACACAAAAATATCATTGTAAATTATAATAATATATTTTAAAAGTTTTAAGTGCCTACACATAAATAATGTTTTGAAATAATTCTATAAGTTTATAATGTAGCTTGACTGTTTGAAGTCTGTATTAGAAACATTCCAAGGTCCAAAACTTTGTGAATTTAAAAGGCTTGTTTGAATTTTATTAACAGGGCCATGAATTAAATACATATTTTGTATGTTTTTGGGTTTTTTTTTTTTTTTTGCTACACCGTATGATAAAATGGATTTGGCCAAAGTTTGTTTTTATTTATTTATAATTCAAATATCAAATCTTATTTTGAATATTTTATGGGTTAGGGCATATAAACACATTTTTTAATGATTTTTTTTTTTAAATACTTTTTTTTGTAATATTTAAATTTTTTCGGTTAATCTGTTCTAAAATGGCATTAATTGCATTTGTTTAAACTATAACTTATTGACTTGTATAGTTTCATGGAAATTATTCTATTTTTAGTCGGGTATTAAACGTGTATTATTGAAGTCGAAATTAAATTAATTTACTAATATCAACTTGTACTAAGCGGATGATACAATCGTAAATATAAATACTTAGCTCCAAAAACATCGTCTGATGTAGAACGCTGCTTTTCATTGTATAAAACTATGTTTTCATCAAACAGGAGGTCTTTCAAGTTTAAAAATCTGTACAATGCGTCAACTACTTTAAAGGTGAAATATATAATTTTATGTAGAAACATAATGTATCTAAGCATCATTTTTTTTTTGCGAATCTTATATAACACGACGAAAATCAAGACTAGTCCAATAAGTCATTACTAATTTGTAATATTTTAACTAAAATTTTAATAATTAATAATAAATAATAATAATTAACTATAGAAAGTAAGAATTTTTAGAGCATATTTCTATATATATTTTGTTGGTTTTTAGTGCATATTTAATAGCTTTTAAGTGCATTAAATTCACAGCCTTGGTTATCATTATCTTTTATAAAAATGAAAAATACTAACAATGTTAATTTAATATTAATAAAATAGTAAATTTATAGCAATCCAAAATTTATCTTCAATATCACAGTAATTTTGATCCCGCATTGGCATTAAGCCGTGATTTAGGGTTAACTGGATTACTATTCTGATTTTAGATTTCGTTTAAAATTTTCCGAAAAAATAAACTTATTTTTTAATCAATTTAGACTTAATGACTCTAATTCGATGTTTCCTAAATAAAATTAAAATAAGTACAACATGGATTAATAATTAAATAACTAATAACTATGTACATACAATCTTGGGATATCATGACTTAATATTAACAATAAATATTTATTCGAATAATTATCTAGGTAAAATTTTTCACAACTCATTGTTACATAGTTACTGTTGAGGAGCATACTGCATACGCGTAGACTTACTAGAATAGTCATCATTGTAATCATTCTATAATGCATATTTTGTATTAGTATTATGTTTGAAATTCTCCGAATAAATTTTTATTCAAATACATTTTTTTTCATATAATTATCTTGATAAAATTTTGCACAACTCCATAATACATATTTTATTATAATTATTTTTATTATAATTGTTTATTTTTTTAAATATTAAATAGCATTAGATATTGTACTTCAGTATAATTTTTGTAAACTCCGTATTACCATTTGTCTTTAATTTATCTATTTACCAAAGAACATAATGCAATGACCTAGATAACGGCGGGACCCCGGAACTAACATCAAGTGGCCCCTTTACAGGGGCATTGTCCAGGCTGCTCATGCAGTTTTTGCGACACTGAATTAATCAGTATACACAATAACACTAATATAAGGAAAAATTTAGTAATTACTGTGTATACTGAATACAAGCGGCAATCGTAAAATTAATAATGAACAACACGTGTATGAAAATGTTACGTACAAAAACACACACGGCAGTTATTTTGAGCTGTATTTATTAGTGATTAGCGCCGCCGCCACAATAAAACTGTAGTTGGCAACATAACTGAAACGACAGAGAGAAGGGAATGCTATCTCGCATCGGTTTACTCTCAAGGTTAGGTTATTTTGAGCTGTATTTATTAGTGATAAGCGCCGCCGCCACAAAAAAACTGTAGTTGGCAATTTTACTGAAACGACAGAGAGGGGGTATGCTATCTCGCATCGGTTTACTCTCAAGGTGTACCGATAGATGTTTCATAACTTTCATATCAAAAACTTATCTTTGTAAAATAAATAAAAAATACCAATTATACAGTATGTCTGGGCTTACAGTTTATTATGTTGCAATAGAACACTGGATCATATAAACCTTTGAGTTGCAGTCCGTCACTTTTAAATAATACTATACAGGCATACCTATAATTTATTGCAGATATTGGATTTCATCTATTCTATTTCATATTTAGAATAATTATCATTATTATGATAGGATAGGCAACATTATGCACTGTGAGTTGTGTAAAATTTTATCTAGATAATTATTCAAATAAATATATGTAATTAAATAAAAATATATTCGAATGGGTTTTTCACAATTATTTGATTAAAAATTTATTCAAATAACATTAAAACATTATTTTTTGAATATTTATTTATTCATATAAAATGTTTAGGTAATTAAAATTTCATTTCAGTAACGCCCTACTCGGACTGAGGCCGTGTTCTTTGAGATATTAAACCAGTTGTATTATTTGGGACGATTTCGAACATCAAACTACATAGTCAGTAATAGCTGCCAAAAAAAACTATAATATCATGCTTAGAGAATGCCACGCATGCGCATGTTGTTTCCATCTTAAAAAAATTTACAAAATACCAAATTTACAATTATCCATTTTATTCTGTCATTTATAAAATTAGAATGAAATGACCTGTTTGAAAATTTAAATACAATTAACTACGACATTGCCTAGGCTTTTATTGATACTTCAGTTTTGAAGCAAAATATAATCATTTTAAAACTGTTGCAGGCATCACGTCCTGTAAAAGTAGAATTCTCTTACACTATACAGTAACTGTATTACAGTATAATGTATATACACTTACAGTCTACACATTTCGCGTTACTGCGCACATTGCAGTACGCAATGTAACAGTAAGCTTGCTTGGGTGTGGTATGACACATTATTGTTGAGCGGACAACTGAAATTATATCATTAAAGCTTATAATAAATATTATATTATTATCCTGTGCGACGCGATAAATAAAAGGTTTATTTGGACGAACCGCGAACGGAAATGATCGAACTAAACGTTTATTGTGTGGTTTTGATGCCTTTGGTCGGTTTGATATCGTACGTGGTATGGTCGCGGCTCCGTATGCCATTGGAATACCGACAGATCTCGTCTCACGTACCTTCACTTACGAAAAACTTTTGGAGTGAGATACTGTTTTCGTGGAAGATGGCGATGATGCAACCCAAAGGTATATATGCCATCACATGTTATATTAATATTAGTTGATTTTATCACAACGAATTGTAACTTTAATTTATTTCATACTTTATGTTTGCCCGTACTTAAAAATATACATAACTACAATCTTAGAATTTTAATTTTTAGACAACTTTAAGAACATTTTAATGTTTTAAACTTATTTACACAATTATATTTAATTAATTTCTCCGTAAGTTGTATTTTAAAGTTTCGTTCAATTTTTACATTTTTTCAAAACAACAATTACCGTATCTAATCGTTTGGTTTTTACTGTTTTAAATGACGGAATACATTTCTTATTTCATATTCAAAAATAAAATGTGTTCGCCAAAGGGGGCTCTTATTGCACAGTTAGCCCCAACGGCTCGCTCTTACAAACTGAGTCAGTGGATATTTTAACTAATATACTGGGCGACACTTATGTCGCCCAGAGAAAATTTTTTGTCGCCTAGTAGATGATATATTTAATTACTAGGCGACAACGATTCTTTTTAAAAGTGACTATGTTAGAAATTATTATATAATTAACATGTTATTCTTATACTTAATGTTGATATTTATAAATATAATAATATATATATTTTCGTTTGGTAATTTGAATTTGGAAGTACAAATTTAATAATTATTGAGAATGGAAAACCCGCGTAACCGTTCATCACGGGAATAATAATAATGAAAAAAAAATGTATACTAATGTCTAATAATAATAATGCAAGAAAACAATATTTATTACACGCGACAATGCGACATGTTTTATCTGGTCTTCAGCCTTCCCATCAAATATCTACAAATTAATTGTTTTCGATTTTATTTTAGTCATTGTTCCTACAAGCTTAATTAGATAAATTTTATTTCACTTTGAACCTTCTAACTGTTTAAACGTTCAAAGTTAAACGTATACAAGTATACTACGATTTTCGTCTCTTGGTAAGTATAAAATAATTTAAAATTTTTATATTTAATAATTGCAATATAAATATATTATATTACAAATTACAATAATACTGTTTAAAAAAATACTAACAAATACGTGTAACACTGTAACGTATTACGTATTTACGTATTTTTGTAATTTTAATACTGACTATTTATTTTTGAGGGTAGCAGAAGCTAAAAATATATACCTATTATATTATAGTTACCTCAACACGTTATGATATAAACTATAAATATTTAATTACGAGCGTAATATTACTCCATTACATTAAGTAGACATTTTAAAAACTTAAAATATACAGGTGTTCCAAATTTCATGTGACAGCAGATTTCAGCATGATATATTTAAATTAGGAAAAAATGACCTATGTGAAAACCTTTTTGAATCATATAAGCTAAAATAATTTGATATAAATTTTTTTTTTTATTAATTAAAAAGGGGAAATTTTAGGGGTAACTTTTAAAATTCAAATGGGAACATATATTTTTGAAATACGATTTGTGCACAGCTTAATTTTAAATGAATTTTGACGGGTCATTAACAAAAATATCTTAATAATTGAATGAGTTATCGACATCTGAATATTGGTGTTAAATTATTAAATTTCTACAGTGAATAACACTAAAAGTGCTTCTGTTGTACAACCTTAATAATCTGGGTATGTAATTATCAATTTATTTTAGTAAACAGTAGTCATTACAAAACGTATATCAGTATTATCGTTTGATATTATTACCAATTAGAGATTATTTTTATTTATGGTGTCCTAATTGCATTTCTTAATCTGACAATCGATGACTTTGTAAAATAAAATAATATATTAATATGTAGGTATAACCTATAAGGCTAGGATCACACTATGCGTTTTGTCGGTTCCCGATCAACCGGAGCCAAACCGCAACACTCTAAAATAAAATAGGTTTAAATATAAAACGCGTTATCAGGGCCAGACTAGACCGATTTACGGAACCGATTAAAAACCGTCGGGAAGCGACCGCAACGTGTTGCGGCCCAACCGTCCGGTTGCGTTTCAGGATGTAAAGCACAACACATGCAATGCAATTTGTCCGATCACATTTGTGCGGATTATCGGTAACCGAAATTGAAAATTTTATGAATAATTAATAATCATTTTTAAATTTAAATAATTAAAAAACTTAAAATATATTTGTAATATACATATATATATATATATATTATATTTTATTTATATTATAGATGTATATTATTATTTATTAGCATAATTAGTTGATACACGTTTTAAATAAAAACAAATAATTCTAATTACACAACCTTTTTATTATTTTTTTACTTATAATACTAGATATATTTCGTTTAAATAAAAAATCAGTTTAAAATTTAAATTTAAATTAAAAACGATTTTCGGGCTTTTTAATCTCATTTGTATGTATTCGGTTACCGATAAAACGCACAGTATGATCGATCGTCCCGATTGCGGTTAATCGGGATAGTATTTTTCGGTTGCCGACTAAACGCATAGTGTGATCCTAGCCTAAGAGTCTAAGACTGTGATAATAGCGTTTTGTATTATTCAATTATTTTATCAATGATAATAGTGATATAAGTTTAAAGATATGATTTATAACCTTAAAATTATTTAATATTTCCTATGATACCTACCAAATTATACCGTATTATTATATAATAATAGTGATAAATGATTAGGTACCATGTGGTTGTTTGTTGATAACATGAAATTAATAACACTTCTTAGTTCTTAGCTCTGGGTTTTTACTTATAAGTTTAGACCAGTTATAACTTAAAAGTTAATAAATCTAACACATTTCAATTATTTAATTATTTCAACTGTTGATGTTTTTAAGTCATTGTAATAGCAATACGTAACTGAACGAAGTATAACAGT